TCCAGTCTGGGTGACAGAGCAAGACTTCATCTCAAAAAAAAAAAAAAAAAAAAAGGGTGGGCAAGGTGGCTCATGCTTGTAATGCCAGCACTTTGGGAGGCCGAGGCAGGCAGATCACCTGAGGTGAGGAGTTTGACCTGCCTGACCAACATGGTGAAACCCTGTCTCTACTAAAAATATAAGAATTAGCCGGTGTGGCGGTGGGTGCCTATAATCCCAGCTACCCAGGAGGCTATGGCAGGAGAATCGCTTGAACCCAGGAGGCAGAGGTTACAGTGAGCCAAACTGTGCCACTGCACCCCAGCCTGGGCGACAGAGTGAGACTCTGGCTCAAAAAAAAAAAAAAAAAAAAAAAAAAAAAGAATGTGATACTATGATATACACTGGTATAAACTCCTTATCTGCTTGTGAACCATCAGTCTCCAGACCATACTTCAAGAAGCAGTGGACTATATATTAGATGGCATTAGTGAAGATTAGTGAGGTACTGCTAATTTTCTTAGTTGAACTCATAATATTATGGTTATGTAAAAAAATGTCCTTGGCCAGGCGTGGTAATTCACACCTGTAATCCCAGCACTTTGGGAGGCCGAGGTGGGCAGATCACGAGGTCAAGAGATCGAAACCATCCTGGCCAACATGGTAAAACCCCATGTCTACTAAAAATACAAAAATTAGCTGGGTGTGGTGGCACATGCCTGTAGTCCCAGCTTCTCGGGAGGCTGAGGCAGGAGAATTGCTTGAACTCGGGAGGCGGAGGCTGCAGTGAGCCGAGGTCTCACCACTGCATTCCAGCCTGGGTCCCAGTGACAGAGGGAGACTCTGTCTCAAAAACACACAACAAAAAAGTCCTTATGCTTAGAAGATAGATGTGTCTGTATACTTGTGTCTGTATACCTTATACAGGTAGATGAGGTATCTAAAGATGAAGAGTCAATTGGGCACAGTGGCTCATGCCTAGAATCCCAGCACTTTGGGAGGCCAAGGTGGGAGGATCGCTTGAGCCCAGGAGTTTGAGACCAGCCTGGGCAAGATGGTGAGATCTCATCACTACAAAAAAATTAAAAATAGCCAGGCATGGTGGCACACACGTGTAGTCTCAGCTACTTGGAAGGCTGAGATAGGAGGATCCCTTGAGCCCAGAAGTTCAAGGTAGCAGTGAGCCATGATCATGATACTGTACTACAGCCTGGGCAACAAAGCAAGACCCTGTATAAAAAAAAAATTATGACTCACTGAAGACTCAGATGATTTTTAGCATTTTTTTTTTTGAGATGGAGTTTCTCTCGTTACCCAGGCTGGAGTGCAATGGCGCGATCTCGGCTCACCGTAACCTCCGCCTCCTGGGTTCGGGCAATTCTCCTGCCTCAGCCTCCTGAGTAGCTGGGATTATAGGCACGCGCCACCATGCCCAGCTAATTTTTTTGTATTTTTAGTAGAGACGGGGTTTCACCATGTTGATCGGGATAGTCTTGATCTCTTGACCTCGTGATCCACCCGCCTCAGCCTCCCAAAGTGCTGGGATTACAGGCTTGAGCCACCGCGCCCGGCCGATTTTTAGCATTTTTAAAGCAATAAAGTACATTTTAATTAAGGTACATACACTGGTTTTTTATATGTAATGCTATTGCACACTTAATAGACTATAGTATAAGCAATGTTTATATGCACCGGGAAACCATAAAATTTATGTTACTTGCTTTGAGATATTCACTTTGTTGTGGCAATCTGGAACCAAACCCACAATATCTCTGAGGGTATAACTATAAACAAGTAATAAAATTATCAGGAAGTTGATTTCCATAGCCAATCCTATATTTATTCATTAAATATTCCTTGAGGGGCTGGGCACGGTGCCTCACACATGTCATCCCAACACTTTGGGAGGCCAAGGCGGGTGGATCACCTGAGGTCAGGAGTTGGAGACCAACCTGACCATTATGATGAAACCCTGTCTCTACTAAAAAAAAATACAAAAATTAGCCGGGTGTGGTGGCAAGCGCCTGTGATCCCAGCTACTCGGCAGGCTACTTCAGGAAAACCACTTGAACCCAGGAGGTGGAGGTTGTAGTGAGCCAAGATTGCGCCATTGCACTCCAGCCTGGGCAACAAGAGGAAGACTCCATCTCAAAAAAAAAAATATTCCTTGAGGGAGGAATAACTAAGTTAAAAACCGGTGAGTAGAGTTAAGCCAAAGACATAGGGAAAGGAGCATCCAAGCTGGGGAAACAGAATGTGAAAAGGACCAGAATGGAAGAACTTTCTCCTTTTCAGGGAAAGAATTCAATGTATCTAGAGAAATGGAGTTTGTCGGATTATGAAGTGGCTTTTGAGCTACATCAACAATGTTGGACTTTATTTTAAAAGCAAGAAAAAGTTCACCAGGTGCGGTGGCTCATGCCTGTAATCCCAGCACTTTGGGAGGCGAAGGTGGGCAGATCATTTGAGGTCAGCAGTTTGAGACCAGCCTGGTCAACATGGTGAAACCCTGTCTCTACTAAAAATACAAAAAAAGTAAGCCAGGCATGGTGGCATGCATCTGCTATCCCAGCTACTCGGGAGGCTGAGGCATGGGAATTGCTTGAACCCAGGAGGCAGATGTTGCCATAAGCTGAGATTGCACCACTGCACTCCAGCCTGGGTGACAGAGTGAGACCCTATCTCAAAAAATAAAATAAAATAAAATAAAACAACAGGAAGCCAATGACAGATTTTAGGAGAAACGTAAAATTTGCTTTTCTTTTTCTTGAGACAGAGTTTTACTTTTGTTGCTCAGGCTGGAGTGCAGTGGCATGATCTCAGCTCACAGCAACCTCCACCTCCTGGGTTCAAGCAATTCTCCTGCCTCAGCCTCCTGAGTAGCTGGGACTATAGGCATGCACCACCACATCTGGCTAATTTTGTATTTTTTTTTTTTAGTAGAGACGGGGTTTCTCCATGTTGATCAGGCTGGTCTCAAACTCCTGATCTCAGGTGATCCCCCTGCCTTGGCCTCCTAAAGTCTTGGGATTACAGGTGTGAGCCACCATGCCTGGCCATTTTTTTAATAGATGAGAGGCTTATACATTGCCCAGGCTGGCCTTGAATGCCTGACTCGCCTCCTCATGTGCTAAGACAACTGGCCTGACCCACCGCAGCTCCCTCGAGATTAGCACTTTTTCTTAAGAGACAGGGTCTTGCTATATTGTCCAGGCTGGTCTTGAACTCCTAGGCTCAAGCAATCCTCCAGCCTCAGCCTCCCCAGTAACTGGGATTTCAGGTGTGAGTCACGGTGCTGGAATGAAGGGGGGAAAGAGTGAATACAAGCAGCAACAGTTAGGAAGATGACTACTGATGCAATAATCTGGAGAGAGATGATGGAAGCCTGCAGGGATGGCAGCTTGGTGAAAAACTGGATGGGGGTAATAGTACAGGAGAAGGACTCAGAAATTATTCCCAGGCTCTGGCTTGGGTGACTGAGTAAACTGTTTAAATTCATTAAGACTGAGAATAGAGGAGGAAGAACATGTTTAAGGAGAAGATGGAAAGCATTCAACACTAGATATATTGAGTTTGAAGAATCAACTCTCTGGTTTCTGGCCTAAGTGATTTATATAGATGGTAATGCCCTTTGCTGATACAGGGAATAAATGGAAAAATAATTGCTTTTTTGAAAATTTCAGTTACAGCCGGGCGCGGTGGCTCACGCCTATAATCCCAGCACTTTGGGAGGCCGAGGCGGGTGGATCACGAGGTCAAGAGATCCAGTCCATCTTGGTCAACATGGTGAAACCCCGTCTCTACTAAAAACACAAAAAATTAGCTGGGCACAGTGGCGCATGCCTGTAATCCCAGCTACTCAGGAGGCTGAGGCAGGAGAATTGCCTGAACCCAGGAGGCGGAGGTTGCGGTGAGCCGAGATCACGCCATTGCACTCCAGCCTGGGTAACAAGAGCGAAACTCTCAAAAAAAAAAAAAAAAAAAGAAAAGAAAAAGTAAATTTCAGTTATAAAAATAATATATCCCCATCACATAAAATTTAAAAATAAGGAAATGAAAAAATTTATGTGACTACCATAAACCAACACTTTGGGAGGCCAAGGTGGGTCAATCACCTGAGGTCAGGGGTTCAAGACCAGTTTGGCCAACACGGTAAAACTCGTCTCTACTAAAAATACAAAAATTAGCTGGGCATGGTGGCAGGTACCTGTAATCCCAGCTACTCAGGAGGCTAAGGCGAGGAATAACTTGAACCCAGGAGGCAGAGGTTGCAGTGAGCTGGGATCATGCCACTGTACTCCACCCTAGATGACAGAGCGAGACTCCATCTCAAAAACAAAAAATCTTTCTGGCTGCCCCTCCTTGGGCTAGATAATTCTTATACACAGCAAGGGTTCAGCTGGAAGATGTCTTTGCTATACAAACCAATTCAGAGCTATATCCCCTCTATCTGGCATGGGTACCCCAAGAGACAATATTATAGTGTCCTAATCACCCCATGGCCAAGTACCAGACAACTAGGGAGCACCCCTGAACCTTATTCAAAGTAGCCAATCCTAAACTGTTCACTCTGCACTGCATTGCCTTTCCCAAGGAAACTCAAGTAGTGGCAGTGGCCTAAACTTTCCCCTCTTCTGTCTTCTGCCTCCTGCCCACCCTGGTGTCTTTCCCATGTAGCCCTATGTTGCACGCTGTGTCTCCTGTCGTTAGGACCTGTAAGCATAATAGACTTTGTTTTCCTAAGCCTCTCCTATGTCTCCTCTTGTGGCTGTACCTGACCGACTATCTGATAAAAGAATAAAAAACATTATATAGTAGCTTTAACAGCCATATTTTTCTAAGAAGGAGACTTCTCTAAAGTGTTTGATTAAGAAGAATTAAAAATACAAGCTAACAACGCTTACTTACTAAGTTACACGTCCATAGGCCGTTAGAGTACTAAAACATAATCTAAATTGTTGGGCAAGTACCCAAGAACAACTCCAGAGTTGATGAAATCACAGACTAGAGAATGTTAAATATAGAGTCAGTTTTCAGTATCCACTTTATTATGCTACATATTAGATTTTGGAGCTTTCTGCCTCCACACTACACAGCACAATTACAGGTATTGAGTCTCTTTGAAAAGCTCCTTTCCCTTAGGGTCTCTCCAATAACCAATTCTTCCTCCATGAATGAGTTAATTGGTGCTATTGCTCCTAGGGATAACTACATTTTCTTTTTTTTTTTTGAGATGGAGTCTCGCTCTGTCACCCAGGCTGGAGTGCAGTGGCACGATTTCAGCTCACTGCAACCTCTGCCTCCCAGGTTCAAGCAATTCTCCAGCCTCAGCTTCCTGAGTAGCTGGGATTACAGGTGCCCAACACCAGGGATAACTACATTTTCAAGGGGCATTCGAGAGGCCTTAAAGCCAAGAAAACCCAAAGGAATTAATCTCATATTATCACTCAGTCATCCTGTATTCACTTCATGGCTTACTCTGCTTTTTAAAAACCTCGACTGTTTCTGGTTTTAATCCTTGACTATCTCATGAATCCAGAAGTCTTAGAAATATCTAAAAATAGTAGCATCTGAGCAAATACACAGACCCCAGTCAATGTAAAATTATTACCAGCTGCTAAAAAAAGCTCATTTGTTACCACACCATAAGCAGAATCAGATGGAGGAGATAAGACTATAAATTAGAACCAAGGCTGACAGCAATAGGAAGAAACAGTCCAGATCCAGGAATTGGGAGTGGTCAAACCCAAGCAAACAGGCATGATGGAAAGGGAATCTGAAAACTAAGGTTAAGTCTGCCTCAGCTGGGTGCAGTGGCTCACGCCTGTAATCCCAGCACTTTTGGAGGTCAAGGCAGGTGGATCACTTGAGGTCAGGAGTTTGAAATCAGCCTGGCCAGCATGGTGAAACCCGTCTCTACTAAAAATACAAAAATTAGCTGGGCATGGTGGCACATGCTTGTAATTCTAGCTACTGGGGAAGCTGAGGCATGAGAATTGCTTGAATCCAGGAGGTAGAGGTTGTAGTGAGCCGAGATCATGCCATTGCACTTCAGCCTGGGCAAGAGCGAGACTCCATCTCAAAAAAAAAAAAAAAAATCTACCTCAGACCAGAGGCCTATTACATTCTTCCTATTCACAAACCAAAGATTGGTTTCCACTGTAATGCTCCCAGGGTCTGTAATGTAGCAATATGCCGAACCTAAAAGTTTCTGAAACTTAAGCCTAAACAAATAGCCTGCAGTCTTCTAGGAGGCTGCTCATCGACTGAAGAGGAGCACCAGCTCACAGTGTGGGGTGTGGGGGAACAAATCCACAGGTACAGCTTGCTGCAGGAGAAAGGGCTCACCTAAGAGCTTCTTAGCAGGGTTTGGAGGACAGCACAGCCTGCAGAAACAGAATATAGCATCAGTTCCTAGGAATAAAAGAACCCACAGGAACACAACTGCTTAAAATAGAGGCCCTTCCACTGTGTTCCCACAGGCTCCCCGTGCTTCTCCTATACAGCATTTATTTTATTTAATATAACTATTTTTCTTCACCATCTTCCTTACTGAATAATAATCTTTTTAAGGGTAGAAATAAGGTAAACACTGCTTAATATTCATCTCTGTGTTCCCAGTACGTGGCACAGAATAAGGGTTCAATATGTATTTGGTGAACGGAGCTGAAGGGCCTGTATGTTCATAAGGCCTTAAGATACATAACCTCTGAAGTGTTCTAAAAAGGGTTGTACCAATTTACATCCAAACCAGCAAAGTAGAAGAGGAAATGTCTGCCTGGATAACATTCAATACAGTCATGTATCACCTAACGACAGGGGTACATTCTGAAAATTGCATTGTTAGGCAATTTCTTCACTGTGTCAACATAATAGAGCATACTTACACATATCTAGATGACAGAGCCTACCACACACCTAGGTTATACATTAAAGCCTATTTCTCCTCAGCTACAAATCTGTACAGCATGTTACTATACTGAATACTGTAGACAACTGTAATACAATGGTATTTATATATCTAAACATTAAAAAGTAAAAATATAGTAGAAAAATTTGTCAGCCTGGACCACATAGCAAGACCCCATCTCTACAAAATTTTATTTTTAATTTTTAACTAATTATAAAATTAGTTTTAGTTGGGTGTGGTAGTACATGCCTGTACTTCTAGCTACTCTGGGGGCTGAGGCCAAAGGATCATTTGAAACCAGGAGTTCAATACCAGCTTGGGCAGCATAGCAAGAGATGGTCTTTACCAAAAAATTAAAAAATAAAAAAATAAGATCCAGGCATGGTGGCTCATGCCTGAAATCCCAGCATTTTGGGAGGCTGAGGTGAGAGGATTGCTTGAGCTCAGGAGTTCGAGACCAGCCGGGAAAACATGACGAAACCCTGTCTCTACAAAAAAAACACAAAACCTAGCCAGGCATGGTGGTGCACACCTGTAGTAACAGCTACTCAGGAGGCTGAAGTGGGAGGATGGCTTGAGCCCAGGAGATAGAGACTGTAGTGTGCTGAGATCATACCACTGCACTCTAGCTTGGGACAGGATCATCAATATCACTGTTTTGCACTTCCATATCTTGTCCCACTGGAAGGTCTTCAGGGGTAATACATGGAGCTGTCACCTCCTATAATAACAATGCCTTCTTCTGGAATACCATGTGAAAGACCTGCCTGGGCCTGTTTTACAGTTAACTTTTTAAAAATAAGTAGAAATAAGTCTAAAGTCTGCTAAAATAATGATAAAAGTATAGTATAGTAAGTACATAAACCAGGAAACATAGTCATTTATTATCAAGTATTATGTACTATAGATAACTATATGTACTTAATTTTATAAGTGGTAATGCTGGTATAAACAAATCTACTGACAGCACAATAAGTTTTTTACACCAGCATGACCACAAGCATGTAAGTAACCCATGTGCTAAAACGTTACAATGGCTATGATATCACTAGGCCATAGGAATTTTTCAGCTTCATTGTAATCTAATTTTTTTTTGAGACACAGTCTCGCTCTGTTGCCCAGGCTGGAGTGCAATGGTGTGATCTCAGCTCACTGCAACCTCCACCTCCCCACTTCAAGCAATTCTCCTGCCTCAGTCTCCCAAATAGCTGGGATTACAGGCATGAGTCACCACGATGGCTAGTTAATTTTTTTCTTTTCTTTTTTTTTGAAATGGAGTCTCACTTTGTCACCCAGGCTGGAGTGCAGTGGCATGATCTCAGCTCATTGCAACCTCTGCCTCCCAGGTTCAGCAATTCTCCTGCCTTAGCCTCCTGAGTAGCTGGGATTACAGGCGTGTGCCACTATGCCCAGCTAATTTTTGTACTTTTAGTAGAGATGGGGTTTCACCACGTTGGTCAGGCTGGTCTCGAACTCCTGACCTCGTGATCCACCCACCTCAGCCTCCCAAAGTGCGGGGATTACAGGCGTGAGCCACTGCACCCAGCTACGCCCAGCTAATTTTTGTATTTTAGTAGAGACAAGGTTTCACCACATTGGTCAGGCTGGTCTCGAACTCCTGACTTCGTGATCCACCCACCTCAGCCTCTCAAAGTGCTGGGATTACAGGCGTGAGCCACTGCGCCCAGCTATGCCCAGCTAATTTTTGTATTTTAATAGAGACAAGGTTTCACCACGTTGGCCAGGCTGGTCTTGAACTCCTGACCTCAAGTGATCCACCCACCTCGGCCTCCCAAAGTGCTGGGATTACAGGTGTGAGCCACCACACCTAGCTGGCTCCATTATAATCCTATGAGACTAACATCATATATGTGGTCCACTGTTGGCTGAAATGTTATTAAGCAACACATAACTGTAGTTTAAATAGCATTGTCCCATTATAATCAAATACAAGACAAAAATATTCACTATCACATCTACAATGGAACTTTTTAAAATCAAATATAATAAGCAAAAGGAAAAAATGAACATTAGAAGGAGAGGAACAGAATTATTTTTACATAGTGATCATGTGGTCAGCTACCACAACAATGTGAGAATCAACTAAAAAATGCATAAAACTAATAATAGAGTAAGGTAGCTTTATACCAGATTGCAATAACTAATTAGAAAATGACATGTAGGCTGGGAGTGCTGGCTCACACCTGTAATCCTAACACTTTGGGAAGCCAAGGCAGGTGGATTACCTGAGGTCAGAAGTTTGAGACCAGCCTGGCCAACATGACGAAATCCCGTCTCTACTAAAAATACAAAATTAGCCAGGCGTGGTGGCACATGCCTGTAATCCCAGCTACCCAGGAGGCTGGGGCAGGAGAATCACTTGAATGTGGGAGGCGGAGGCTGTAGTGAGCTGAGACCATGCCACTGCACTCCAGCCTGGACAACAGAGTAAGACTCTGTCTCAAAAAAAAAAAAGTCAGAAAAATTTTTTAAAAAATGTCATGAAAAGATCCCATTCATAATAGAAAGCTGGCCAGGCACGATTGCTCATGCCTATAAGCCCAACACTTTGGGACGCTGAGGTGGGAGGACAGCTTGAGCCCCAGAGTTGAAGACCAGCTGGAGCAACATAGTGAGACCCTGACTCTACAGAATTTTAAAAATTAGCTAGGCATGGTGACTCATGCCTATAGTCCCAGCTACTTAGGAGGCTGACGTGGAAGGATTGCTTGAGTCCAGGATGTCAAGGCTGTAGGAAACTGTGATTGCACCACTGCACTCCAGCCCTGGTGACAGAGTGAGACTCTATCGCAAAAAAAAAAAAAAAGCTTCTACTTGTCTGATAAAAAAAAAGGAGAGATGGTATGCACACACATACATGTGCACACACATGCACTCATGCTTATATAGTCGCAGAATTATCTCTGGTAGTCCACACAAGAAACTGCTCAGAGTGGTGACATCTGAACAACCAGGAGTCAGGAGTAAGAAACTCATTTTCACCCTATATTCATTTGTATTATTTGAATTTTCTCTCTCTCTCTTTCTTTACTGTTTTAGAGATGGGGTCTCACTCTATCACCAAGGCTGGAGTGCAATGGCACAATCATAGTTCACTGCAGCCTTGAACTCCTAGACTCACGTGATCTTCCCAACTCACCCTCCTGAGTAGCTAGGATTACAAGCATGAGCCACTGTGTTGGTTTATTCGAAATGTTTCTACCATATGCACATACTGACTTTTTTTTTTGACAGGATTTCACTCTATTGCCCAGACTGAAGTGAAGTGGAGTGATCACAGCTCACTGCATGTAGCCTTGATCCCGCCCCTAGGCTCAAGCGATCTGCCCACCTCGGCATCCCAAGTAGCTGGGACTATAGGTGCGCCATCACACCCGGTTAACTTTAATATTTTTAGTAGAGACGGGGTTTCACCATGTTGCCCAGTCCGCTCTCAAACTCCTGGGCTCAAGCAATCTGCCCACCTCAGCCTCCCAAAATGCTGGGATTACAGGCTTGAGCTACTGTGCCCAGCTGAATTATACACTTTAAATGGGTGAAGTAGGCCAGGTCAGTGATACATGCCTGTAATCCCAGCTACTAAGAGGCTGATGCCAGAGGACTGCTTGAACCTAGGAGTTCAAGGCCAGCCTGAGCAACATAGCAAAACCTCGTCTCTTAAAAATAAATGTTGACTTGTATGATGAGTTATATCTCAATAAAGCTATTATTTTTTAAAAATCCCTTAGAGGTCTCTTATTATCAGAACATAGAGAACATCTGCATTTTTCATAGCAGTGTAGTGTTCCACTGAATGGATGTGGCATAGTTGATTTAACCAGTTCCCCACTAATGGACTTTGGGAGTATTTCATCTTTTCCTGTTAAATATTGCAATGAGTAACTTTGTATAGATGTCATTGTATGTGTGTGAGCATATCTATAGGCTAAAACCTCAGGAATGGAATTACCACGTGAAAGGGTATATATACATTTGTAATTTTAATCTATATTACTAAATTTCCCTCCACAGGAATAGCACCAGTTTACATAGGGTTAGTACTCAATTTACATAACTCATTTTTTTAGAATTATTTGCCTGTATTATTACCAACAGCACGTTATCAAGCTTTTGTACTTCTGCCAATCTGAGGTATAAAAAGAAGTATCTCAGGGCACTTCTAATTTGCATTTCTATCATTATGAGAGAGACAGCATCCTCTCATAGTTTGTAAATACCTTTATAATATTGCCTTTTCATATCCTCTATTCATTTTTCTATTGGCTGCTGGAGTACGGTGGCGCAGTCAATTTCTAGGATTTTCTTAGATTAAGGAAAGTCTTTGTGATATGAACTGCAATTTTTTTTTCCAGTTTGTATGCTATCTCCTTCCTGTCTTTGCTTATGGTACTTTTCATCATGTACAAATTACTGATTTTTTTCAATAGTCTTATTGAGATATAATTAGCATACCATGCTGGGCACAGTGGCTCATACCTGTAATCTCAGCACTTTGGGGGTCTGAGGTGGGTGGATCATCTGAAGTCAGGCGTTTGAGACCAGCCTAGCCAACAAGGTAAAACCCTGTCTCCACTAAAAATAAAAAAATTAGCCAAGCATGGTGGGGTGCCTGCAGCTGCTCAGGAGGCTGAGGCAGGAAAATTGCTTGAACCAGGGAGATGGAGGTTGCAGTGAGCCAAGATCATGCCACTAACTCCAACCTGGGTGACAGAGACTCCATCTCAAAAACAAAACAAGACAAAACGAAACAAATTCACATACCATACAGCTCACCCATTTATACAGTTCACTGGTTTTTAGTATGTTCACAGAGTTATGCATCTAACACTACAATCAATTTCAGAACATTTCATCAGCTCAAGAAGATACTAAATACCCCTTAGCAATCACACCCTATTTTATCTCCAAAGCCCCACCCCCAGACCTAGGCAATTACCTGTCTACTTTCTGTGTCTATAGATTTGCCTATTCTAGATAGTTTCTATAAGTGGAATGTTATACTATGTGGCCTTTTGTGTCTGGCTTCTGAATGCTAGTCCCTTACGAATGATTTACAAATAGTTTCTCCTATTATGTGGCTTGTCTTTCACCTTTCTCAATGGTATCATTCACAGGACAAAAGGTCTTTTTAAATTTTGATTCTTTTTTTTTTTTTCTTGGAGACAGGGCCACACTCTGTCACCCAGCAGAGTACAGTGGTGCGATCTCAGCTTACTTACTGCAGCCTTGACCTCAGGGATTCTCACGCCTTAGCCACCCAAGAAGCTGGGATTACAGGCATGCACTACCACACCTATCTAATGTTTGTTTTTTGTTTTTTTGAGATGGAGTTTCGTTCTTGTTTCCCAGGCTGGAGTGCAATGGCACGATCTTCGCTCACTGCAACCTCTGCCTCCCAGGTTCAAGCAGTTCTCCTGCCTCAGCTTCCCAAGTAGCTGGGATCACAGGCACCTATCACCACACCAGGCTAATTTTTTTTTGTATTTTTAGTAGAGACAAGGTTTCACCATGTTGGCCAGGCTGGTCCCATACTCCTGACCTCAGGTGATCTCCCTGCCTTGGCCTCCCAAAGTGCTGGGATTACAGGCCTGAGCCACTGCACCTGGAAGTATTTTCTTTTAATTTAAAAAAAATTTCTTCCTATCAGGCTGGGCATGGTGGCTCATGCCTGTAATCCCAGCACTTTGGGAGGCTGAGGGGTGGATCACGAGGTCAAGCGCTTAAGACCAGCCTGGCCAACATGCTGAAACTCAGTCTCTACTAAAAATATAAAAATTAGCTGGGCATGTGGCATGGGCTTGTAATCCCAACTACTCGGGAGACTGAGGCAGGAGAACTGCTTGAATCTGGGCAGGGGAAGGTTGTAGTGAGCCCTGATCATGACACTGCACTCCAGCCTGGGTGACAAACCAAGACTCCATCTCAGAGAAAAAAAATTAATCCTAACTATAGTTATGTTCTTTTTCTCATTTAAAACTATATTTTTGTGCTTTGTCCCTTTATATAATTGATTAGGCTTATTTATTTAATTATTTTCTTCCAATAACACCTTGCTTTCTCTTCAAATGTACAGGTTTTTTTGTTTTGTACATCATTAATTTATGGATTTTTAACATGATTACTGAGCTCTTCCTTCAGTTTCCTTTAGGTTTCTTTTGCTAGCTCATGACTTAATTCTTTTAAATTACTTAATTTTTTTTTTTTTTTTTGAGATGGAGTCTTGCTCTGTCTGTCACCCAGGCTGGTATGCAATGGTGTGATCTCGACTCACTGCAACTCCGCCTCTTGGGTTCAAGCAATTCTCCTGCCTCAGCCTCCTGCATAGCTGGGATTACAGGTACACACCACCACCATGCTGGCTAACTTTAGTATTTTTAGTAGAGGCGGGGTTTCACCATGTTGGTCAGGCTGGTCTGGAACCCCTGACCTCGTGATCCACCCCCCCTCAGCCTCCCAAAATGCTGGGATTATAGGCGTGAGCCACCTCGCCAGGCCAAATCACTTAATTTTGTACACATTGACATATAATGATTACATAACTTTTAATTCTTATTTGTTTCATTCTAATATATAATCTGTACTTTATACTGGTCTATGTTGTTTGACTGTTACAAAGAAATTGTATCACTTATATTAAAAAGTGAAAGAGAAAATGATTACAAAATGTAAACATTTCAAAAATTAAAATAGCTGACCAGGGTCAGAACTAGAATGAAGTGAAAGGTACTTGTATTGGGTGCAAAATTTAATAAAATGTCAAAAAGCTAAGTATTCATATGTTTTAATGCAGTATTTTAGAATATCACATTAGAAAACTGTAATTTTCCAATGTGATATTCTAGCCACCTGCTTTTATAAGGTTTTACTGGAACCAAAGTCAGAATTCAGGCAAGGCAGTGAGATGGGGCTCAGCAAGTCCAGGGGCAGATCCTACCTTTCCCATCTTTTTTAAAAAATGTAATATTTTGTTCATCATAAATTATTTTGGATTAGTTTTGATTTTTGGCAATATTGGGCCAGACACGGTGGCTGACACCTGTAATCTCAGCACTTTGGGAGGCCAAGGCAGGAGGATCACTTGAGCACAGGAGCTCAAGATCAGCCTAGGCAACATAGTGACACTTCGTCTCTATAAAAAAAATAAAAAATATTAGCCAGGCACTTTGGGAGGCTGAGGCAGGAGGATCACTTACACCCAGGAGTTTGAGACCAGCCTGGGCAACATAGTGAGACCTTGTCTCTACAAAAAAATTAAAAATTAGCCAGTTGTGGTAGTGTGCACCTGTAGTCTCAGCTACTTGGGAGGCTGAGGCAGGAGGATCTCTTGAGCCCAGGAGGTCAAGACTGCAGTAAGCTGTGATTGTGCCACTGTGTTCAACCTGGGTGACAGAGTGAGACTCTGTCTCAAAAAAAAAAAGAAAATATTGCATTAAAAATTTAGCCATTAAAAAGAGCTGTAGTGGAATAGAAACAAACAAAAACAATTATCTTGATTGTTGAGATTTTTGACACCTTTTTTTTTTTTTTTTTTTTTTTTTTTTGGAGACAGTCTCGTTCTGTCACTGGGCTGCAATGCAATGGCACGATCTCAGCTGATCTCGGCTCACTGCAACCTCCACCTCCCAGGTTCAAGCAATTCTCCTGTCTCAGCTTTCTGAGTAGCTGAGATTACAGACACATGCCACCATGCCTGGCTAAGTTTTTGTATTTTTTTAGTAGAGACAAGGTTTCACCATGTTGCCCAGGCTGGTTTCGAACTCCTGAGCTCAGACAATCCACCCACCGTGGCCTCCCAAAGTGCTAGGATTCCAAGTATCAGCCACCGCACCCGGCAAACACATTATTAAATTTTGCACCCAAACTAAGTTGCCTCATCCCTGACCCAGCCCTGTAATTGAGTCTTGAAGGTAGTATTTTTTTTGTTTCTGTTTCTTTACACTTCTCATGACTTGAAAGCTCAAAATCACTTTCCAACTGTGCATACAATGGGCATGAATGACTTTGATAATCAGAACAAGACTTACTCAATGACATTCCTTGTGGTTTCACCGTGGAGCTTGCAGGAAACAAAAACTAGCCTGCGGATGGCCCTGCAGTTTCGAATGGCTTGAACCACCTTGTAATCTGAAGGAAGAAACACCTTGCTATTAGTGTAATTAACTACCATGGTCTCCGTTATCACAAACTTCCAACTGACCAGAAGTCGGGACTGATTAGAAATAGAGGGGAGATGGGTTCAGAGCCAGCCCACTGGAGCACCCTTAGTATGGTGTGGAAAAGAAGAACCAAAGTTGGCAGACAATACTGGGAACATCAAAATAGCTCTTCATCCTTACGCAGTCCGGCACGGGCTGGGTTCACCACAGCAACAATTGACTGTCCATCTTCCTTTGACTTTAAAAGCCCTGGCAAAATCTTCTCTGCTCGACCAGTGTGAAATTCAGAGTTGGTGATACCTGTAGAAGACAGACTCACATGACACAACTCGAGCCCAACAGTGGGGGAAAGCTTCAGCTTTACAGAAACACACAGGAGCAAAGGGCTCTGCCATCTTCCCTTTGGATCTAGCATCATTCCAAGTAATAAGAAGTGCTTTCGGATAAACCCATTTCATTTTTTCCAAAGTACTTTCCCTTGGAATATCTCAGTAAGCCTTTCAGCTTGAGCAACTAGATAGTGTAATTTTATGTCATAACGCACATAGCACGCAAGGACCTATACCAAGATAAGAACCTTGACTTTTGCTCAAGTGCTCCTCCTGCTATATCAGACATTTTCACTAAGTGCCTCAGGAGCTTTCCAGAGGTGAAGTAGTAGGGGCAAGATGATCTATTTTCTATATTGCAGTTTGACAGAGGACTGTGTTTGAAGAAAAAGTTTTGTTGCTGAAAATACAGGTTTGAAACCTATCATATTATGCTATAAGGCCTCATGAGTCTAACATCAAGAAGATTCTTCTTCTATTCTGTCAAAAGTTTTGCAACTTCCCTTCCCATCAGCTAGACATGTTTCTTCCCTTAGGCTCCTCTTCTGGATAGGAAAAAAGTTATATATTGGTACCTATTCCAGAAAACCACTCTGACCATTGCAGAACTCCCTCCCTTCCTCCTTGTGGGTCAGGGATACAGCAGTTGCCCTTTCCCATACAACTCTTTCCATAGCACAGAAACAATTGCATCCCTTAATTTATACGCAGGCTGTAAGCTGTGTACCATTGTAAGCTGCAGTCCACCTTGCATCCTCCACTGCCTGCTCCACCAATTCAATCCCGAGGACCTGAGATGTATGCTGAGCCAGAGAGAGACCAATCACACCTGAAGAAGTAAGAGAATAAGAAGGTATTTTAGGGTTTGGGTGTGGTGGGGGTTTGTTCGTTTGTTTGTTTTTTTGAAACAGAGTCTCACTCTGTAGCCTAGGCTGAAGTGCAGTGGCACAATCACAGTTCACTGCAGCCTTGACCTCCTGGGCTAAAGCAATCCTCCTGTCTCAGCCCCCTGAGTATCTAAGACTACAAGTTCATGCCACTATGCCCAGTTAATTTTTAATTTTTGTAGGGACGGGGGCTCACTATGTTGCCCAGGCTGGTCTCCAACTCTTAGGCTCAACCAATCCTCCTGCCTTGACTCACAAAGTGTTGGGATTACAGGTGTGAGTGACTGTACTTGGCTGCAGTTTTAGGGTTTTAGACCAACAAGGTTATGCCTGTACCACTACCACTACCTCTCCCTGACCACCTCTGCAAGCTATAAGGGCCCTGGGAGCTGAGCAGCATGCAGATTCTGCCCTGGGCTGCCACTTGCCAGTTCCACAGCAGATGTCAAGAAGGATGGTGTCAGAGTTCACTCCAGCCAGCTCCCCAACAGTCCGATACAGCATCTCTGCACCAGCAGTGTTAATCTGGAAAAAGGCATCTGGAGAAATGCGAATCTTCAAGCTCAGAAGTTCTTCAAAGATGTAGGGTTCTCCAAACAGAAGCTCAAAGGGGGACTGCTGATGGCTGCAACGGGTCATGGTACTGGAAAAGAATAAAAGAAAGCATCTTGAGCCAGGCGCAGTGGCTCATGCCTGTGATCTCAGCACTTTGGGAGGCCGAGGCAGGGGGATCACCTGAGGTCAGGAGTTCCAGACCAGCCTGGCCAACATGGTGAAACCCCATCTCTACTAAAAATACAGAAATAAGCCAGGTGTGGTGGCGCATGCCTGCAATCCTAGCTACTCGGGAGGCTGAGGTAGGAGAATCACTTGAACTTGGGAGGCAGAGGTTGCAGTGAGCCAAGATCATGCCACTGCACTCCAGCCTGGATGACAGAGCAAGACTCGGTCTCAAAAAAAAAACATCTTGAAATGGCAGACCATGACATCCCTAGGGGTGGGGTCGATGGGGAGGCCCCAGCATCTCAACTAGGAGACACAGCCTCCTTGCCATGGCCCTGAGAGCTCTGCAAGTTTCCCCCTCAAGGGATGAAAATCTATGCAGACACTCTCACATCTATATTCTGGCCTGGGTTCCCAGACCCAGCTGGTTGTACAAGGGCCAGAACTACCTAGCCTATATCGTCCACCATCAATCAGCATCCCTGCATCAGCAATCCACAAACCAAGCGTCTGGCAAGCCTTTAGCCTATTTGGCTGCCCCAGGTTTACCTTTCCTGAAAGTAAAGTGAGGTCAAATCACAGGCTGCTCCAGGACCTTTGATGAAAAATTCCTTTACAATCTCCTTCTGACCACGGAGCTCCTCCTGCCGAGATCACAAAATTAGCAGTCAAGCACAGACTCATCTCTGACAAATTTTCTCTCCAAGCTCTACAATAATCAGCCCTGCAGTATTCAAACATGAAAACATTTCACAAATCTTACTATAAGTAAGACTTTATATAAAGCAGGCCAGACATGATGGTTCACACCTGTAATCCCAGAACTCTGAGAGGCTGAGACAGGAGAACCACTTGACCTCAGGAGTGTAAGACCAGCTTAGGCAACATAGCAAGATCCTGTCTCTACAAAAAATTCAAAAAGGCCAGGCGTGGTGGTTCACGCCTGTAATCCTAGAACTTTGGAAGGTCGAGGCAGGCAGATCACTTGAGGTCAGGAGTTCGAGACCAGGCTGGCCAACATGGTAAAACCCCATCTCTACTAAAAATATAAAAATTAGCCGGGTGTGCTGGTATGTGCCTGTAATCCCAGCTACCTGGAAGGCTGAGGCAGAATTGCTTGAGTCTAGGCAGCGGAGGTTGCAGTGAGCCGAGATTGAGCCATTGTACTCCAGCCTGGGAGAAATGAGAAAAAAAGCAAGACTCGATCTCAAAAATAAAAAAAAAAATGCCAGCACAGTGGCTCATGCCTGTAATCCCAGCACTTTGGGAGGCTAAGGCAGGTGTATCACGAGGTCGGGAGTTCAAGACCAGCCTGGCCAAGATGGTGAAACCGCGTCTCTACTAAAAACACACACACAAAAATTAGCTGGGCATGCTGGCAGGTGCCTGTAATCCCAGCTACTCAGGAAGCTGAGGCAGGAGAATTGCTTGAACCCAGGAGGCAGCAGTTGCAGTGAGCCGAGATCATGCCACTGCACTCCAGCCTGGGTGACAGAGTGAGACTCCATCTTGGGGGAAAAAATAAATTAGCCAGGTGTGGTGACATGTGCCTGTAGTCACGGGTACTCTAGAGGCTGAGGTGGGAGCATTACTTGAGCCCAGGAGTTTGAGGCTATAGTGAGCTATGATTGCACCAGAGCACTCCAATCAGGGCAACAGACTGAGACCCTGTCTAAAAAAATAAAAATAAGAAATAAAATTCTTACATTAGTACAGAGAGCCTAAGCATTAGCTTGACACCAGAATTTATCACAATAAACCATACAGGAACCATAGGGTTAAAAACAGCAGGCATCAGGCACAGTGGCTCATGCCTGTATTCCCAGCACTTTGGGAGGCTGAGGTGGGTAGATCACCTGAGGTCAGGAGTTCGAGACCAGCCTGAACAACATGGAGAAACCTCCATCTCTACTAAATATACAAAAAAAAAAAAAAATTAGCTGGGCATGGTGGCGCATGTCTGTAATCCCAACTACTCGGAGGCTGAGGCAGGAGAATTGCTTGAACCCGGGAGGCAGAGGTTGTGGTGAGCTGAGATGGCACCACTGCACTCCAGCCTAGGCAACAAGAGTGAAACTCCATCTCAAAAACAAAAACAGGCATCAAAGGACCTAGGTTCAAATCCTAGCTTAGCTGTTACTGATTCTTTAACTACTTGGGTATTTCTATGCCTCCACTTCCTCAGGTGTAAAATGAGCGTGACAATATCTCTCCTCCTGCCTACTTCACAAGTTTGCTGAGATGATCACATAAGTATAGGAATGTCTTAACACAGGTATGTTTGAAAGCACCAAGTGCATGACAAATGTAAAGTACTATTTAGGTTATGAAATTCTGACATTGCAGCCTCTATTGAATTGGCGTTTGGATTTGGTAGTAGTAGAGCAACTACTACTGTGGGCAAAGTTCTTGTGAAATTACTTTGGAGTTCTCACATGACAATTAACTTAGTAGACTAGCCACAGTCTGTGGTTTGATTATGCAAGCAGTACAGTTAAAGAGTATCCTTGCCATCTTCTCCTCATCCCTCATCCCTTTCCCCAATCAACACAAATATTCTGTGGATGTACAGTTTCTGCTATATGCCCTAAAACTTCCAAAAACCAATTACAGTAATAGTAGTAGTAAAAGTTAAGATTGCTTAACATCGTATAAGGCTCACCTGACTTAATTTCTGGGGATGCAAAGTGATGATTGCCATTGTGTGCCCTTGGCTATTGGTGCGGACTATGAGCTCACGCCAGTATCCACCTTCATGAAATACAAGGCAGGGCTCCATTGGAGACTGTCGAAGGAATATTTCATAGTACTAGAAAGAGAACCAAATTATTATATAAGCAAAACTCGCAAACTTTACAGCTGATTATTCATGCTAGGTGATTGTTTGGGGCTATATTTTGTCCCCCATAAATTCCTATGTTGAAGCCTTAACCACCAGTACTCAAAATGTGACTACATTTTGAGACAGGGCCTTTAAAGAGGTTATTTAGTTAAAATGTGCCAGTTAAGGCAGGCTTTAATCCAATCTCATTAATATTCTTTTTTTTTTGAGATGGAGTCTCACTCTTTTGCCCAGGCTGGAGTGCAGCGCCACAGTCTCAGCTCACTACAACTTCCGCCTGTAATCCCAGCACTTTGGGAGGCCAAGGCAGCTAGATCACTTTGAGGTCAGGAGTTCGAGACCAGCTAGGCCAACATGGCAAAACCCCATCTCTACTAAAATACAAAATTTAGCTGGGCGTCAGGGTGGGCACCTGTAATCTCAGCTACTCGGGAGGTTGAGGCTGGAGAATTGCTTGAACCCAGGAGGTGGGATGCAGTGAGCCGATATCATGCCACTGCACTCCAGCCTGTTTACAGAGTGAGACTCCATCTCAAAAAAAAAAAAATTAGCCAGGCATGGTGACACACACCTGTAGTCCCAGCTACTCAGGAAGCTGGGGTGGGAGGATCGCCTGAGCCCAGGTGGTCAAGGCTACAGTGAGCCGAGATCTTACCACTGCACTCCAGCCTAGGCAACAGAGTGAGACCGTGTCTCAGGAAAAAAAAAAAAAATCAAAATCCCCACCCTGTGACTTTACAGAGGATGCTATCGGTTGTATTCTGAACTATAAGCTCCATGAAGTCTTAAGAGTTGTTTCCTCAGTCTGACATATAGTATGTGTTCAATAAATATTATTGGAAAGTGGTATGAATGACTAAACAGGAAAGGTATTCTTACGTAGAACTTCAGTTTATTTATGGAAAATAATCTTCCCTTTCTGTGAATTCCTAATGTATTACTGAGGTGCAATGATTCCACTCTTACTTTTAATGTCCTGACATAAGCACATCATTTCTATATTTCTTCATATAACCTGGTACCAATTATATTATAACTTACTCAGATCCTCCATTTCCTCCTGGTAAATACAAGTCAAATGCAATCCTGATTTAGTTGTTGTGGTCTCAAAAATCCTTAAAGCCAATTGCTACCATAACAGGAACCACTATCTGATTTACTAGGTCCTTTTGTTTTCATAATGCATGTATTCTGGGTCCACTATATTTTCAAACAAACCACAAAATTATGTAGTAAAGGGGGAGTTACACCAAAAAACAGTGCTGAGAGGTAACATCAATTAAGGTTGTACTTGATCACTTTTGCTATAATTTCACATAAGATATTCTTGATTTTTACTGAACATAGTTTCCAAATTTTAAAGTTAGTGATTTAAAGAAAGACTAGTTCTACTGGGCACGATGGCTCCCGCCTGTAATCCTAGCACTTTGAGAGGCCGAGGTGGGCAGATCATTTAACGTCAGGAGTTCAAGACCAGCCTGACCAACATGGCAAAACCCCATCTACTAAAAATAACGAAATTTAGCCAGTCGTGGTAACGGGCACCTGTTGTAATCCCAGCTACTCAGGAGGCTGAGGCAGAAGAATCGCTTGAACCTAGGATGCAGAGGTTGCAGGGAATCGAGATTGTGCCACTGCACTCCAGCCTGGGCGACAGAGTGAGACTCTATCAAAAGAGAAAGAAAAGAAAGAGGAAGAAAAGGAGGGAAAGAAAGAGAGAAACAGAGGGAGGGAAGGAAGGAAGGAAAAGAGGGAGGGAGGAAAGGAAGAAGGAAAGGAAAGACAGGAAGAATGAAAGATGGATGGATGGACAGACGGAAAGAAAGAGAGAAGAGGAAGAAAGAAAGACTAGTTCAACTGTTGTGCACTAGCTGATTAGAAAGGAATGCTTTTGGGAAGCAAGATTTCAATGTCATATAAAGCCCAGCGCAGTGGCTCACACCTCTAATCCCAGCAGTCTGGGAGGCCAAGCGGGATGGGTGGATCGCTTGAGGTCAGGAGTTCGAGACCAGCCTGGGCACCATGGTAAAACCTGGTCTCTACTAAAAGTACAAAAATTAGCCAGGTGTGGTGGCGCACACCTGTAATCTCAGCTACTCAGGAGGCTGAGCAGGAGAATTGCTGGAACCCAGGAGGTGGAGGCTGTAGTGAGCCAAGATCACACCACTGCACTCCAGCCTGGATGACAGAGAGAAACTCCGTCTCAAAAAAACAAAAACAAAAACAAAAGGACTCCGGGTGCAGTGGTTCACGCCTGTAATCCCAGCACTTTGGGACGCCCAGGCAGGCGAATCACCTGAGGTCAGAATATTGAGACTATCCTGGCTAACTGGCTAACACAATGAAACCCTGTCTCTACTAAAAATACAAAAAATTAGCCAGGCATGGTGGCACATGCCTGTAGTCCCAGCTACTCAGGAGGCTGAGGCAGGAAAATATCTTGAAGCTTGACCTGAAAGATAATGGGTAAGTGAATATGAAATATAGCTTCTCTACTGTATGACCTAGGGCCTTGGTATCTTCATTGTAAGACGGAGATTGAAACTCCTATTCTTATATGGGAATGCTTAAGTATTAAGATGAAAGGGAACTTCTGGTTAAAATAACAGAATATTCCTCCTAAAAATCCTACTAAAATGAAAAAGGGAATTAAAAAGGCATCAGCTTATTTAGGTTGTTTCTAACAATTCTCCCTTCTCTCTCCTGTACCATCATTGCCTTCCTTCAGTGCTGGATCACTCCCATCAATATACTATCAGATTGCTTTTACTCTCCATTTTTTTTTTTTTTTTGAGGCAGAGTTCTGCTCTTGTTGCCCAGGCTGGAGTGCAATGGCATGATCTCAGCTTACCACAATCTCCACCTCTCGGGTTCCAGTGATTCTCCTGCCTCAGCCTCCCGAGTAGCTGGGATTACAGGCATGTGTCACTACGACTGGCCAATTTTGTATTTTTTTTTTTTTTTAGTAGAGATAGGGTTTAGTAGAGACCACATTGGTCAGGGTGGTCTTGAACTCCCGATCTCAGGTGATCCACCCGCCTCAGGCTCCTAAAGTGCTGGGATTACAAACGTGAGCCATTACACCTAGCCTACTCTCCCATTTTAAGCAGAATAAAAAAAAGAATCTTCTTGACGCTATATTCCCCAACTCTGTTCCTCTTAAAACTCATCACAAGAACTGAACCTATTCACTGCTTCCCATTCTTCTCCTTCTATTCACCTACCTGAATCAGGTCACCACTACTCCGCCAAAACAGTTCACATTGTCATCCCTGACCTCCTTGTTATGAAATCCAATGGTCAACTCTGAGTTCTCACTTCCTTGACCAATCAGCAAGCACTGGGCACAGGTGACAAGCCACTCCTTCTCTGTTCACTTTCTTCCTCTGGTTCCCAGGACACCTTACTCCTGTTTCTTATGACCTCATTGACCATTTCTTCTCTGTTTTACTGGTTCTTCCTCTTCTTCCAAACCTCTTAAAATGGGAGAGCCCCAGGGATCAGTCTCCATTCCTCTTCACTTTTCTATCTACTCTCACTCCCTTGGTGATCTCTTAACCAGCCTTGTGATTTTAAAAGACATCTACATGCTAATAACTCCTGGATTTCTCTCTTGAACCCTAGTCTAATATATCCAACTACCTACTTAACATATCCATTCAGATGTAATAGGCACCTCAGATACATGACCAAAACTGAACTATTCATCTCTTCCAACCCAAATCTGCTCTACCAGTCTTTCCAGTCTCAGTCAACAGTAACTTAATCCTTCTACTTGCTCTACACAAAACACCTGGAGCCATTTTTTAAATATTTATTAGGGTATAATTGATATATAAAATTTGTACCCATTTTATGTATATATTTTGATGAGCCTAGACATATACATATACTTGGGATACCAACCCCCACCAGCCAAGGTACTAAACACATCCATTACCTTCAAAAATGTCCTCGTTGGAGTCATTTTTCACTTCTCTCTCCTTTTTTTTTTTTTTTCTTGAGACAGAGTCTTGCTCTTGTCACACAGGCTGGAGTGCAATGGCACAGTCTCGGCTCACTGAAACCTCCGCCTCCCAGCTTCAAGTGATTCTCCTGCCTCAGCCTTCCCAGTAGCTGGGATTACAGGTACCTGCCACCATACCCAGCTAATTTTTGTATTTTTAGTAGAGATGGGGTTTCACTATGTTGATCAGGCTGGTCTCAAACTCCTGACCTCAGGTGATCCACCTGCCTCAGTTTCCCAAAGTGCTGGGATTACAGGACGACTGGCCACTTCTCACATCTCTTATACCTCTCATTCAATCCATCAGGAAATCCTGTTGTTCTATCCTCAATGTACATCCGTCTCCACTGCTACCACTGATGGATCTACATCATCTCTCACCTGGATTACTACTGCATAGCTCCCCTCAACTGGTCTCCCTGCTTCTATCTAACCCCCACCCCCACCAATACTACATTCTCAACACAACAAATGGAGTATCATGACATTCCTCCCTCACCCCATCAAAACTTCTGATGGTTCCCCATTTCATTCAGAATGATGTGGTTTGGTTCTATGTCCCCACCCGAATCTCATCTCGAATTATAATCCCCAGGTTGGGGGAATGGCCTGGTGGGAGGTGACTGATTTATGGGGGTGGACTTCCCCTTGCTGTTCTGGTGATGGAGTTCTCACAGGATATGGTTAGGTTATGTTAAGTGTGTGGCACTTCCCCCTTCTCCCTCTCTCCTGCTTCACCATAGTAAAATGTGCTTGCTTCCCCTTCCGCCATGATAATGTTTCCTGAGGCTTCCCCAGGCATGTGGAACTGAGTCAATTAAACCTCTTTTCTTTTCTTTTTTTTTGGGACGGAGTTTTGCTTTTGTCATCCAGGCTGAAGTGCAATAGTGTGATCTCAGCTCACTGCAACCTTAGATTCCCAGGTTCAAGCGATTCTCATGCCTCAGCCTCACAGGTAGCT